TTAAAGTCAATAGGCTCCAGTCTTGGTTTGAACCCAATGACTTTCATTGTATTGACAATTGACAATGATCAAAATATCTTCTTTTGTGAAGAAAGTCATACAGGTCTGGAATGACATGATGGTGAGTAAATTATGACAGAATGTATTTCTACTATTAAATCTCATTCATGTTCATGTAGGTTTAATGTCAGTGATGCAAAATGTATTTGGATCTAGCGTGTCTTATAACCACTTGTGACACAATAAATTTGAATATGTAAAACTCAATATGTATTACTTGAACATTATAATATATATAATATATATTTCATATTTGTGACCCTGGACCACAAAACCAGTCATAAGTAGCACAGGTATATTTGTAAATAGCCAACAATACATTGCATAGGTCAAAATTATTGTTCATGTTCCATGAAGATATTTTGTAAATTTCCTACCGTAAATATATCAAAACTTTTTGAAAAAAATGTATTAGTAATATGCAATGCTAAGAACTTCATTTGGACAACTTTAAAGGTGATTTTCTCTTTTTTTTTTTTTTTGCACCCACAGATTCCAGATTTCAATGGAAAGCTTATTTATTCAGCTTTCAGATGATGTATAAATCTCAATTTCAAAACATTGACCCTTATGACTGGTTTTGTGGTCCAGGGTCACATTTGAATATTTAAATCCAAATACAGAAATTTTAGAGTCAGAAGGGAAGATTTTTTTCAAAGATCAAAATAAACGTAAAATAAAAAGTTATAAAAAAAATTAACCAAAATAAAAGTTTATTCCTCATATAGTTATAGTATGACTTCAGATGACTAAGAATATTGTGCAAATTGACTAATTTATGACACTTTTCTCATACTTAAAGCCTGACAACCATTCACTTTCATTGTATGGAAAAGAGCAGCATGAACACTCTACCAAACATCTCCTTTTATGTTAGACAGAACTCATACAGGTTTGAAACTACACGTGGAAGCGTAAATAATGACAAAAATTCAATTTCAACGTGTACTATTTCTTTAAGGGTGATTATTAAAAAGTGTGAAAATGAAAGACAGGAGATTGTGCAAGAGGAAGAGAGAAAGAGCGACACAGAGCGAAACCCTCCGCCAAAAGACAACACCACAGAGGTAGAGGAAGTGAGAAGGGAGGTGATGAGGTGGAAGAATGAAGCAAAGAGGTGGGACGGACAGCCTGATAACAATCAATGCTGAGACGCACTGAAAGAGGAAGCAGCCCGTCAGTTAGCGGCTTTCTCTCGCTGTGTGGCATTCATGCGCACAATCAGTCATGTATGCAAAAACAAGCAGCCTGTGCGTGGACGTGATGGACGCATCTGCCAAAAACACGCACACACTCATCCTATTGAAAGGATAATAACGCATGCATCTAAGAAATGCCCGCTGTCATACACACACAAACATGTCAGTGAGCCTCCACTGCGTGTGTGAGGAGGTGGAATGAGAACACATACAACCGCGGTCATGCTGAGGGGACTGCACAGTGAATTTACAGTCATAAACAATAAAGAAAACCAAGTCTTACCTCATTCTCCTAGGTTCTGTCTCTCTTTCCCTCTCGCTGGACACAGAGAACACTGTGTTTGAGTCACACAGATTTCATGCAGCCAGTTTGATTTCACCCCCTCTGACACATTCTACACACATGACTCTCTCTCTCAGGGAGTGCATTCAAAATAAGGTGGAAGCACACACAAGCATGCATGCTAGAAAACAGCTCCCCTTCTTTGGTTCACACACACTTGCTGAAACAGCCTCTCTCTCTGTGTCTCCTCCGCTCTCAGGCAATCAGAGAGAATGTCATAACCGAAGCCACGCCCCTCGCCCCCCTCCCCGCAGGCTTACTATAAATACAGGGATGGATATGAATATGCTGTCTTGTTCTCTTAGACTTTCCCCCCTCCCGTTTTGCTCCATCTCTCATTCCTAATATTCCCTCTCCCTCTCTGTGGCCATGAAATGCTTCTCTAATGACCTTGCATTGTGCTCGCGCCTCGCGGACTACCAGCCCCCCCATTCTCTGCACACACACACACACACACACACTTTCAGAATCAATGTACACTCGTGAATTTAATATTCTTGCAGATGAGCTATAAAACTGGTACTAATGCAGCCAATACAAAATGAATTGAATGGGTAATAAACAAACAATGGCCGACGCTTCTGTACACACACACACCTGCTGGCACTGTAATGGTCGGTTCACACAGAACGCCTTTTTTTCGTTCCACTGCGTTGTTTTTCTGTGGCCGTTGAACGTTACGCCACGTCGAAGTGGCTTATCTGCCACATCTAGTATGCAATGCATGCGCACATATTTGTGTAGCTCATTAGATCCATTGTTGTTATGCATACAATAAGAGCAGGGCATAAGTTTTCAGACGAGTTCGCACCTCACAGGAAATGGTGCCCACAAAACCGCCAATTTACTCGGTCACAACGTGACAGCAAAAGCTTCAGATGCTAAAAGGATACCGAGAAGTGTTTGTGTGTGGGTCGTGACTTGTGAATGTGCCAGAATGATTAAATATGTTGTTGAAACATAAATATGCTTTGCTAATGAATTTAGAAGATTTATATTTTTTCACCGTTCTGTAAAAATACCGGCGTCATTTGCATAGGAGTACAAATTTAGTTTAGTAAATGAGAAGACCTTAATGGGATAGTTCGTCCAAAAATGAAAATTCTGTCATCAATTACTCACCCTGGTGTTGTTGTAAACCAGTATGGCTTGCTTTCTTCTGAAAAACACAAAAGAAGGTTTTGAAGAACTAAACAGTTCAGATTGACTTCCATTTTACGGACAAAAACAAGCATTTCTCAAAATATCTTTTTTTTTTTTTAGTTCAACAGATTAGAAAGAAAGAAAGAAAGTCAAGGTTTAGGAACAACATGAGGGTGAAAAAATGATGACAGAATTACTAATTTTTGGATGAACTATCCCTTTAATATCTAGAATAAGATTATTTGTTATTCTTAAAATCAATTTGAATAATATTTCCAAATCCACATTTGTAATAATGTACAATGAAGCTTAGGGTTTGGCTTTTTTCGAATAACACCCAGAACAAGCAATCAGATGCTTAACAACCGCTCAGAACACACTATCTATAACATAGAAAAACTCACTGTTGCCGTATTCTAATGTAATGAAACAAATGTACCAATGTAATGGTTAACATTTTGTGGTTTAATATCTAATGAATAATTCAATATTTTTGGCCAACTGTACAGTAAAATTCCTGTCTTGAGTTTTGTAAGGTGCAAAGAGAAGTTCAACCCCTTCACCTCCCCCATCTTTCCTGTGCTTGTTTCCTTCCTCTCACATGTTAAACCTGTGTTCACTCTCTTTCTCTCACTATAAAATCCTCAGGATGTGACAAATAAAGAGAAATTAAGCCCCCTAAATCCTATAATGTGAAATACACACACACAATATATATATATATATATATACACATAAAACCAGACAGAAGCACACACAGCTGAGCAAAACATCTACAGCTGCAGTGCCGCCCAATCTCACCAGATATAAAAAGATTGATGATTATTGATCCCTAAAGAGAAATCCAGTGCAGCGGCAGCACTATTAAACAGAGTGCACATATAATGAAACCGTATATGCGTCCAGTGAACATAAACACTATATATGTGTGTAGTTGGTCAGTAAGGACTTACAACATCATGGATAGAATAGCTGTGACAAGGATTGTTGCACATGCTCCAGTTCCCTTGTGGAAAACGAATGGTCTGGGAAGCATCACCCCACCCATGAGTGCTTGGAAAGGCGACTCCACTGTGAGGGTGGCTGGGGGGAAGCCATGATGTGACTTGGACATCAATGTGACGTGAACATTATAGCAGGTTGTCAGATTTGTGCAATACGAGAAGTTATTTATATGGCCCAGCATGTAGTAAACATATAAGCAGTTTGTTAGTGCTGCCTCTGATACCATTGGTTCTACACTTGCTCCTCTTCCCGCATCAACCCTTACTACCATGGCCCGTCCTCCCTAGGGACAGTTCAGTTTCCACTTGGTCAGTCGGTCCTCACAGCTTTGACCTACTTCATGTCTCTGGCTTCATAAGCATACTCATAGGCTCACGCACTCAAAACTGCACATGCAGCGATGCAAATGAATGCTGAGTGGTGATTACAAAGCTGATTTCACCTGCTGTGGTCTGAAGAACACATCTACAAAGCTGCTGTTCAGAGATGCTGATGGACTGCAGAATGTAGCAGTGACATAAAAATCCCGCCCACTCTAAAGCGGTACTGAACTGCAGTGGAAACGCAAACCGAGCCGTGCCGTGCCGTGCCATACTGAGCCGAGTCGTACCACGCAGTGGTGGAACCCCAACCGAGGTGGTACTAAAAAAAGTACCAGGTACCAGGTACTGTACCCAGTGGAAAACCCCCCAAAAGTGAGCCGTACCGTGCCGTACCATGCAGTGGAAAAGCGCCAATAGAGTGGGGTTAAAACTCTGAAACCACAGTCAATGCTGAGATTCAAAATCAATCATAAAGATGACGTTTATTTAAAAAATATTAAACCAGAAAAGTAAACAAATAGGAAATATTTTAATTAATATTTAAGCAAATTGGTGACATTGCAACATGTGACTCTTTGAACAGATGTTTTTGCTTCCACTGAAGCTCAAAATGCTCTAGATTATTTTCAAATCATGCTAGAGAACATGATGTTCAGGTTTCACACATACCTGTAGAGTTCATGAAATCTGAGTGCTGCAGCCATTAAAGCAAAAGAGGAACAATGCAAATACTAGGATTATTTTTAGTTCACTACAATACTTATTAATATAGTTTGTAATAAAATGTACAAATTAAATGGGAACAAAGCAAACTAGAAACACTTTCACTAAGAGACTGATCTTACACATTTAGACCCCTTACTTGTATATATGTATGTTTTCCAGAATATATATAGCATAGTAAATACTTACAATAAAAATATGCTTAAAGGGTAAGTTTGCCAATTTTTAACTAGCCTTGTAATGTTACAGTGTCGGTAGTATATGAACAAAATTTTTCTGTTACTTGCACCAAGATATCCCCACTTTTTGTCAGCAAACGACGTAATCCGTAACCCTTTTGACACCTTCAGGGCTTTAGTGAAAACTACAGATTTTTTTTATTGCATTTCTACTGTACAGACACCCAATTTTTATTAAAACCCATCTTGCCAGTGGTGAATTCCTACTTTAAACAAAATGGGCACTAAAGTATTACGCTACATCTTAACGTAATAATTTAATAGAACAGTGAATTACTGAAAATGCATCAATCATAGGAGCTGGACATGTCGTTGAAAGACATCTGAGTAATGGAGTTTCTGAAAGTCATGAATCCTGTGGAACTGTTTCCTACAAGAAAGGGGAAGCTGAAATGAGAGTTAAAACGAACTGTACTCTCATTTCATTATTGATGGGTGTTATGCAAAGTTTTCTCAATTATAATGTCATGTAACACTAAAGGTTATGTAAGACAATAAGTAAGCCATTTGTAAATTTCTCTTCAGTGTGTAAACACTGAAGCTCTAGTAAAACTGTTTGTAGTCTGCAACACTGGTGCAACCAATGGCGTGAGTTTGGGATGGGACTGTCTGTTTGCTAACCAATGGCAGATTAGAAAAACAGTCATTATTTTTACAATTCCATCAAATATTTTTTACAATACAATTTTACAATTGAAACAAGTGGCACTGAAATTACACACTGCAGCTTTAAACTACAGCCAGATATATAGACTTGCTTGTAAAAGGGGAAGTCTGGTAGTGCAACTCTGTGGCCATTCTAAGTACTGCAAGTGTGCTGTGATTAAAACCTTAGCTTTGATACAAGTTTGCTTAAAAAAATAAGCCTTATATGCGGTCTGCTGTTTATTAGTCAAACCAGCATGCACAATTTCTCTTGCAAATATCTAACTCTCATAAACAGATCTGATAAATTCAACAAACAGTATGGCGTGTAAGTCTCTTATGCACCTCTTCATAAATAATATATTATGCATTTGCATATGCCAATTATATGGGTTTATATTAACAACAAATTAAATTGTTATGAGGTATAATTATTGCAACATCCCAGAGTATGTCCAAATATGGACATAAAGACACTACCAAACAATAACAATCCCAATTAAGTGAATCTAGTGTCACGAGTTGTTAGTAATTTTTTGATTAACAGTTAAGGCATATTAAACCGGTCTGATCCTCTGAGACACAGGATATCTTCAGAGAGTACATGCTGTATATGGCTGAATCAGGAACGGAGGGTAGGGTGAGGACAAGAGGGAGTTTCTACTGGCAATGGGGGGTTGGGCTACTGTGATGTAGCTGTGGCCCAGGGGTGAAAAGGCACCGCTGTGTAAACTGATGTCAGTGTGGATCACCACAGCGTGTGAGTCTCATCTGCTCAGCCTGTCTCACAGCCTTCTCCAGCTCCCCCTGGGACAGCAGCCCGCAGCGCTGCAGGGCAGAGAGCAGCTGGGCCCGAGAGTTGCTGATGAACGAGTGGGACAGGAAATAGGGGAGACCACCTCCATTCTTGAGGAAGTAGAGGGGCACTCTGAACATACCTAATACCTGGAGACAGATAAGAAAGTTGCATAATAAGATTTTGTAAGTACATTTACACACACGTGAAATAATAGACAAGAGTTTTAACCTCTAAACCATGGTCTGTGGCTGTAGCTACAGCTGCTCTCTCCATCTCTTTCAGCTCTGACTCTGTCATCTTCTTGACGTAGAAGTGCGTGATGAGCCGAGGGCAGGATGGAGAAAGACAGGAGGACACGTGATTGTCCACGCCCACAGGCACAGCCACGCCCACCTCCTCGTGGAGCTCTCTGCTAAGCCCCGCCTCCAGCGTCTCCTCAGACGGGTTCACCAATCTGATTATAAAATAAAACACAGCCTTCATGATTAAAGCCGGTTCATTTGTAAACAACTTAAAATTCATTCAAAAGTTTATTTATTTATTGCATAAAGTGGAACTCACCCCCCTGGGAAACCCAGCAAGCCATCAAAACGCATCTGCATCTGAATGACAGTAATCTGAATTCAGGTTCAGGGCGTTCATTTACATACTATTTTTAACTCCCTGCACCTGTCATAGTCACACTCTTCACATAAAGGTAAAAAGACGTGCAGGTCACAGTGCACTCTTCCTTACCAGTACTATATGTTTGATTGGGATTTTCCCGAAGAGTTTGGCACTTGAGTCTCCGTACAGCATAATGTGACACGCATGTCTGTAGCCCTCCCGTCTCAACGCATCTTCTCTCGTGATCTGTTCCGCCATTACAGGACGAGCGATAAACAAACAAATGAACCAGATAGTTGTATATTTAATAACGCGTAAGGAATAACACAATACACTATGTGCGTGTGTGTTACTACTGCAAGCAATAACGTGCCACTATAATCACCTGACGTTCACTATTTCAAAATAATAGTCCATTGCGAACGCACCTCTAACTTTTTTTTCCACAACTTTTTTAAAACCATAGCTACCACAATACACCATATAAACTCGATAGTTAACACAACAAAACTGTGCAAACTTTGTATTTACCACATCTGTCAAATAAAACGATTAAAATTAAAATAAATAGAAATCCTGAAACCTATTTAAAATGTTCGGGGTCCCAAATTAATTCATAATTATTTTGAAGAATTGGTAACAATAATTGTTTTAACCACAGTGTTTTAGCCAAAACTACCATGGCAATTATATTGTAAGGTTGGAAGCAATAATTTATTTTATATAGCCCTATATAACTAATGAGAACGATAGGCTTAAACAAATGTTTATTGGTAACATTTATAGTCCTATAGTTTATAACAATATTGCATATATTTAAAAGTTATGCACATTAAGAATTCATTACGCAGTTTTTATTAACTTTTCAGACAACGTACGTCTGTTGTCCTATAGATGGCAGTAGCAACTAAATTGTGCACCTTAAGATGTTAACATTCACTCAAAAGAAAAGAAAAGAAAGAAAGAAAGAAAGAAAGAAAGAAAACGAAAAAGTGTTCCTGTTGAAAGAAGAAGCCAGAGGAGAAAGACAAAGTGGATATAGATACAGTGCTTCCCCTTCTCTTTTATGTCACTCTAAATCTATGCCACCTGTGCATAGCACTAGAAATAACCTCATATCTAAATGCAGTGTGGCTTCAAAAGCAAAGCCGATTCCACGGTCATCACTGTTAATTCCTCACGCATGCACTGACTCTAGTTTCATATTGCCAAATTAGTTTGCAAAGAACCAGTGAACTGCTATGGCCCTCACATAACATTGCAAGTATCAGACATGTCATTTCAAAATTACTGTGACAACCACAACAACAAAACTAATCTAAAAGTTATTTTTATTCTATTTACATTGAAGTGTTTGTACATATCCTATATTGTAAATCCTTGTGGTTAAACAGAAACTGATTACTGTAGGATAATGGTGTTTGGTTACTGTTCATAAAATGGTATTGGTGTATCCATACAAATTTAAAAGTTCTAACCGCAAGAAACCTTCAGTAATTTATGTCATAAACAAACTACTAAATATCTGAGTGTTGTAGCAGCCCTGAGGGAATGTGCGTTAGACATCTCAAGAGTGTAAGACTACACTGCTTCCATGCCATACAACAACTTGACAGGATTCTTCAGCAGCCTTATAGGAGCTTTACAAGTTAAACCATGATGCTCCCGTCTCTCTGACCTTGTGCATTGCAAGGTGATGACTGGAGGAAATATTCTGTTTCACAACCACTCCCTTCTTCTTTTCCAACAAATATCATTTGTCTTCTCAACTCTTGTGCCAGTTGGACACAAAACATGCAAGCATGATGCCCTAGCCAATAATATAGGAAAATATAATAAAGTTTATACATGTAAACATATTTAAACCACTAAAATATCTGAAAATAGCTGCATTTATTCAGCATTAGTGAGCACTCGTGTCATATAATGGTAAATAGACTACAGCAAACACAGCTATAGATTCACTAACTACAAGGCAAAGGATGAGAACTGTGGGTAAATATGGTAGCCTACTTTTGTGTGTCTGTGTGTGTGTGCATTCTTCAACAGTTGTTGCAGTGTTGGATATGGCTAATGTGGGTTTCCTGAGTCAGCCATGTGGATGTTTCCATCAATCCCTGGGCCTTTGAATTATTAAGAGATGTTTCACATAGCAATATCTATGGGAGACTGACTGAATTAACCCATATTCACTTCCCATTCCAATCTGTCAAGGTTCCCATTGTTCCATGACAGGAGACATTAAATGAATGTAGAGATGTGCAGGTGTATATAAGTGGGGCTGAGAATTTTAATTGCAGGTTATATGTACTATTGAAATAGTAATGATGTTAGTGTAAGACTATACTGGGAATGTTAAGAGACAATGAGACAGATGGAGAGATAAAGCGAGGTTATGATGCTGAGCACATGGTCACATTCATCACAGCTCTTGTCTTGCTCATTTCAATCACTGTAAATGTATAGCAGTTAAACATTCTGATAAGCTGGAAAATTATATTTACCATTAATTTTTTTTGGCCTTAAATTAAATTAAATTAAATTAAATTAAATTAAATTAAATTAAATTGTGGAATTCTTCTCATTATTATTAGTAAATTATTATATTATTAATAAAAGAACTGTAGATTAATGAAAATAATTAATTAATTAATTAAATTATTTTAAATTAAAGGATTTAATTATTATTACATTTATATTAATTATTGTTAGAAGATTGAATAGTTCCATCAGTTAATAGTTCATTAGCCTCACAGTAGGATGTTGGTTAAGCAATAAAGGAACTTTGTGCTTTAATATAGAATTCAACTGATTTGCAGCCACAGGTGTATGTGTATATGCAATGCATGCTTTACAATGGTTTTAAACACGGTTCATCCAATCAAATTTCAGAGCTGAATCTATCCATTTTATAAAATGTAACTGAAACTTCGAGCATTCGCGCCCACAGACTTGAATCAGGCATCTAGGATTGTTGAAGTCAGTGTTGACTCAAGGCCTTGTTAACTCTGTCCGTCCTCTCTGGGCTTACTGTGTGGCAGGGGATTGCGCCAGAACGGCTGCGCTATTCTTGAGCCTCAGCGCTTTCTAAGTTTAAAAGGTTTATGTGAGCTGCTGGCTATTGTTCTGGTGAAGGCGTCAGGGATTGTTATGGGGGATCTTAGTGGGAGAGATATAGTGCTGTCAAAATCCAGACTAAAATAAGCAGACAGCTGTGGGTGCTCATATCTAGGTTATGTGTTTGAGTGTGTGTGAGACTGATCGTGTAGCAATGGAGAACTAACACAATGCAGACGGGCCGTGTGTCGGAGCCAGATGGGGGAGAATGGCACTGGTTGTCTCTATCCAATGAGTCACTTGCTAAAAGACTGATTAGCTTACATTATTGCCGATTTGTGGGGACGGGCTGGCTGGTTATCCTGAGATTAGGACATCTAGGGTTTCCCAAACTCTCCTTTTCTTCATTCTCGCTCTCAATCCCACACACAGGTGCAGGGGGGTTGCTGTATGCCAGGGTCTTACACCACTGTCAGAGGCAGATCAGTGGGAAAAATTCATGTAGAATCCTGAATTGTGGAGTCGGACGCTGCTCAGCTGGGATCTGGTTCACACGTCTGCGCCTGGTGGATAGATCACACATAGGATTTAGAAGAACTGTATGTTTTGATTGGCAAGAGGAAAACATTTATTAAGAGGCAGTTTATGTGTATTTCTCTTGCCCCCATTGGGTGTGGGTATACAGAATGCGACCACCTTCCTCCACCTCTGACCTTTTAGCCTCTGTGTTAGAGTTTTGTGCCACTGGATGAGAGCTGATAATCTGTAACAACTGCTCACCATGTGTTGAACTTCAAACCCTGGTTCCTGGAAGCTTTGTTTAGGTGTGCCATGTCAGCCACTCTTTTATGGCAAATGACATTGTAATGAATTGTATAATGTTGGAGTGAAACTATCTATAAGGTACATCACTGTTTTTAAACACTGAACTGAGGAAATAATCAAACATGTTCACCTAAACGTTCCTCTCTCTCTCTCTGATGTTTAGCTTTGGAAAGTCTGATTCATTCTAATGAATCAGTTCATCTTAAACAGTTCTCTGTCCTATGTTGGAAAGTCTGAGTCATTCTAGTGAACTGGTTCACCTTAAATGGTTTTCTCTGTACTATGTAACATTGGAAAGTCTAATTCGTTCAAATGAATCATTTAATCTTAAACTGTTCTCTCTGTCCTATGTACCATTGGAAATTTTGAGCCTTTCTAATGAATCGGTTTATCTTTAACAGTTCTGACTGTCCTGTGTAGCATTGCAAAAGTCAGATTCCTTCTAATAAATTGTTTTTTCCAAACAAATAGATTACAAAACGAATTACAGATTCAAATCCTTGCAATCCTTGTACTATTCTCTATTTAGGATATGTATGATTTTAGGATACATATAAATCGGTCTGTTCAATAGAATACTGCCACACTGACTGTTCAGAAGCCCTCAATTGTTTTGGTGTAAGCTTTGATTAAATTATAAATGACATCACTGAATAGTTTTATTTTTCTCCAAAAACATATTGCACCCTTAAGTAACTTCTGTAGTTATAGCTAATTATGTTTTCAAAAAAAAAGTTGAAATTGCTGTGTGAAGTAGCCTAATTAATTACATCATCCCTGACATCAATACAAACAAACAAACAAAAAAGATAAAAATAAGTAAATAAAATAATTAAAAATAGTAAAAAAAGAAAAAAAGAAAAAGAAAAGTGCACTTATGAAAAATCAGTTGGGGTACAAAGAGTTTAACAACATTTTCAATATGCCAAACCTAAATGGTGGCATCTGTGTACCTCTGACAGTATTTATAGGGTTGAGATAGTGTGGATGCTCTTTCAGTGCTTGATCACTGGCAGATCACTCTCAGTAATTTCTAAGGGAAACAAAACAGAGCACCGCCTCTTTAACCACAAACCCATGCCAGACAGCACGGCTATCTCTGCACGGAATGCCGGCTATTGCGAACAGGAGTTGTATTCTCTTCTATTTTCGGACTACATCGTGGGCTCTGGATTCTGCTAGAGGACACTTATCTCAGCTTTACCCATCAAGGTCGACAGCTTCTGAGGCGCCTATTTGCTGAGGAGGATCTGATTGTATCAGTAACCGAGTATGAACATCATGCATATCTTGTGTGTTATATTGATCATACCACTAGTCTTTCAACTAGTCTGTCAAATAAGGCAAAGACAGATACCCTTCTAATACACACACAGAAATGGACTGCACCAAGTAGCCTAGATAGGAAGTTAAATCCTTATCTCAGAAATTAGTAATAGGAAGCCTTCAGTTATAAGCACAGATTTAATCCCTTTCAAATTCCATATTTCATCCTGTCATAACAGTTTAAGCCTACTCTTAA